TCTTCTTGAAATATCTGCACACAGTTTCTGTCTCATCTGTTATCCTCTCACCTCTTTCCTTTTCTGTCTCGGTGAAGCCAAAACACTTCCTCACCTCTGATTTAAAAGACAGTGGTGCGTCCTCATCAGTTTCTAAATCTCACTCTGCAGCTTCTCCCCATGTTACTGAGATTCATTTTTCACAGTACAGATGTGAATCTTGACACCTTTGAATCTATTTATCACGATTTAATCTTCACATCCCTAATAATGAATCAGTGTGTGTTCCTCTTATTGTATCCAGGCTGTTTCATAATTATTATTACACTCCGTATCTACGGTGGCCCGCAGGTGCAAAAGGCGGCAGCAGCTGAAGCAGCGCACCTTTAGAGGAAAGCAGAAACACTGCATGTTCAAAAAAAAAAAAACTGACATGGTGGGCGTCTTTGTCGACCAGCTCCCCATTTTGGATTATGATACAAATGATTTGCATGTATTTGAATGTTGGCATGTGACCTGCTTTGAAAACAGACTCCATGTAATGATGATGTAATAGATGAGGTAATGTGCGGAGGGTTGATTTCGACGTGTATGACTCCTGTGAACGATAAAAACAATAAAAACAAGTCAACAAATCACAGACGAGCTTTGAATGTTTGAGGATGTTGAACAGCGTTGCAGAGATGTCAGCGTGCTGCTCGTGGGGCTTGTGGTTTAGTTTCATTTCTGTGTTGTTGTTTTTTTTGCAGATAGTCGGGTTCGCCTTCCTCGGGTTGGGTCTGTGGCTGAGGTTCAGTGACAACACCAGAGGAATCTTTGAAATAGACGCCCTCAGCTCGACCACGTTCGTAATAGGTCAGAGGTCATGATGTACAAGAGAGAGTCTTTAATCCCAAAAGAGTGAGAAGATGTTGAGCCTCTCCCCCTCTCTCTCTCTCTCTCTCTCTCTCTCTACCTCTCTCTTTCTACCTCTCTTTCTACCTCTCTCTCTCCCTCTCTCTCTCTCTGTCCCTCTCTCTCTCTCTCCCTCTCCCTCTCTCTCTCCCTCTCTCTCTACCTCTCTTTCTACCTCTCTCTCTACCTCTCTCTCTCCCTCTCTCTCTCCCTCTCTCTCTCTCTCTCTCTCTCTCCCCCTCTCTCTCTCTCTCCCTCTCCCTCTCTCTCTCCCTCTCTCTCTACCTCTCTTTCTACCTCTCTCTCTACCTCTCTCTCTCCCTCTCTCTCTCTCTCTCTCTACCTCTCTCTCTCTTTCTACCTCTCTCTCTACCTCTCTCTCTCCCTCTCTCTACTCTCTCTCTCTCTCTCTCCCTCTCTTTTCTACCTCTCTCTCTACCTCTCTTTTCTACCTCTCTCTGTCTGTCTCCCTCTCTCTTTCTCTGTCTCTCCCTCTCCCTCTCTTTTCTACCTTTCTCTCCCTCTCTCTCAGCTGTGACGGTCCTGATCACGCTCGGCTCTGTGATGCTGTTCGTGGTCGTTTTTGGGGATTACGGAGCGTGCAACGAGAAGAGATGTGCTCTGCAAGTGGTAAGACCTTCTTTTCTTTGTTTACACGCTCACTTCCTTGAAGAGTGAAGCAACTGCCAAGTCTTTATTTTAGTCTCTTGTGTAATATCTAACGCCTCTTTTTCCACGATACAAACTGGTGCAAGCTGGATGTTTCTCCTCCACTTTAGTGATTCTTGGAAACAGCTGGTGTCTTGTTTTCATCAGATATGGCGTAATGGAAACGTCTGAATTAACCAGGTGTTGGTTCAGGATGCGGTCTGTTTGCGTAGTCACTCTCTTGGTTCCGCTTTCCACTGAAATTATAGAAACAGAATTGAAATCTCATTTCAAAATCTCCACAAAAACACCTCAAATAAACTCCTCAAAACAAAGTTTGGAAGTGTTATTTGGCCCCTTTAATAAAACTGATTTGTGTTTTTTTTATATCGTTGGAAAGCCTGATTAGTCACCTTGAAATTGAAGTATAATGTGTAAGGATCGTGCATTTGTGGAACGAGCAACACAGCTAAACGTGAGTAGAGCCCAAAAAAAATGTGCCAAAACCCCCTGAAATGTTCTTCTGTTGGTGTTCTGTTCTGCCAGGTGTGTGGCTGCTACAGGTGTTGTACCAGCTGATCTTCCACATGCTACTGAGGTCCCTGACACTGTCAAATAAATGAAGTGTACAAATGCCCAATGTGTGTTGTTTTCACCTTATTAATGTGGGAGAGTGCAATCATCCATTCTACAAAGAAACTCAAACAGGAGTGAATACCAACAGAAGATTTCAGGGGGTTATTTTGGCACATTTTGTTGAGGGCGCTAACCACACGTTTAGCTGTGTTGCTCATTCCAAGCATGCACGATCCTTACAAGTTGAACCTCGTTGTAAAGGTGACTAATCAGGCTTTCCAACGATATAAAATACAACACCAATTAGGATTATTAAAGAGGCAAAATAATTGACCAAAGTAACATTTCCAAACTTTTTTTGAGGAGTTTTCATCTCAGGAAGACGTCAGAGCTTTAGTGATACCCAGTGGGGGTTCTAGACCACTTTTACTGGGGGGCCAAACTGGGGCCAGTTGTTTTGTCAGAGGGGAACATTAAACCAGGTGGAAAATAGACAAAGATGATCGCAATATAATAGCGCACATCATTAAATAACAACATAAAATACCATGGGACAGTTGAGACCTCGAGTCAAATACTGTGTATGTGTTATTAGGGGGGGGGCTCTTCCTTTTGGAGGGGTGACCACAGGGGGGACCAAGCTCAGTGTTACAGGAACCGCCCATGGTGATACCTGAAGTTAACACGGCTGCTCTGCTTTACATCAGCAGCGTTTGTGCTGTTGGAGCCTTTTGGAGATTTGTTCATGTAAATATCTGCAATGTCTAACCGTGTGTGTGTGTGTGTGTGTGTGTGTGTGTGTGTGTGTGTGTGTGTGTGTGTGTGTGTGTGTGTGTGTGTGTGTGTGTGTGTGTGTGTGTGTGTGTGTGTTTCTTTTTTCAGTTCAACGTTCTTCTGACTCTTCTGGCCATAGCTGCTATCGGGATCGGAGTGATCACTTACACCCAGAGAGTCGAGGTGAGCCGGAATGAAGAACTGATGAAATGTGATCAGACAGGATTCTTCCTCCTGTCGGTGACGTTTTGTGTTTCTTTGATGTTCAGGTCGGGCAGCGTATCGCAGAGTTTTACAGCAGCCTGTACGCTCTGTACGCGATCAACGGAGACCCCGTCGTCCAAGTGACTCTCACATTCATCCAAGAGATGGTAACAACAAACTCCTCTCAGTTTGACAATCAGAGAAGTTTAATGCTAAAGTGTTCTGGTCTTAATGAACCGCCATCGATGGGACTCCAGCGCCCCCTGCAGGATCAGAATCACTAAGGCTTCGTCTGCTTTTTTTTCTGCACCGTTGATTTTAAAGGCTTTCTATGTAATCTTTTGATCCAGCAGATGTCGCCCTTGAGCACCAGCATGAAACCAAAACAACTTGTGCTGCATTGTGTTAGCATGCTAATGCTAGCGATCTTTATTATGCTGGTATCTTCACACTGCATGTAAATTTACCTGAAATGAGCGTGATCTAGAAACACAGTTAAGCAGTGAGTACAGTATGTTATTCTTCTTTTCTCTAGTCCCTCAATTAAACAACTTTTATACACGAGGGGAGGAGTCAGCCGGCCGTCCTGGCGATGTAAACAAAGTGAAGATAGGACTCTGAAAACTCTGAAAACATCACAGACAGTGGGACTCGGGTGTTACACCCATTGTAGACAGTCATGACTCACAGAGTTATTTTCAGAGGAGAGACTTGATTTATATATTTAAGTTTGAAACATGTAAAGACTTTAAGAAATCTGATGCCTCAAACGACCCCTCTTCAAAAACCCTGAACTGCTCCTTTAATGTCCTCCTCTCTCGTAGCTTCACTGCTGTGGAGTGACGGGGGTCCCGGTGGTCGAGACTCTGAAGTGCCCCAAACCAGACTCCTTCAGCGAGCACCTCATCATGCCTGTAGGTCGATGCATTTATCCCGTTAAGAAAAAATTATCGGTATCTTTGTGACGAGTCACTAACAGTTTGTCCTCTCCGTCCTGCAGAACTGTCCTCAGGTCATCAGCTCGAAGTTTGACAGTCAAGCTCCGCTGATGCTCGGGATCTTTGTGGGAACTGGATCCCTGCTGGTAGGAAAATGTTCCAACACGCTGCACTTCTCTACACTTTGAGAAAACATGTGAAAGAGCCGACAGACAAACGGACACCAGCCGGAGCAGAGGAGGAAACTCAGTGTTCAACACGACACTGCTTTAGCATGTTAGCTGTTAGCCTGTTAGCTGTTAGCCTGTTAGCTGTTTGAAGAAGCTGAAAAGGATTAACAGTGAAATAAGTCGATTTGTTAACGGACAAACTGAAACTAGCATCTCTATTCTCAGAGGTATCAGAGGAGCTTCCTTTACTGATAATCAACCTTCCTGTTGAGGCAAGCAACCAATCAGAGTACTCTGTCCAAACGATGCAGGCTCCGCCCCCTTTCTGAATGAATGGCAGTTAATGGAAAAGATAACCTTTTGTCCACCTCACTTGGTGTTTTCTTTTTTTGCGCTGGCTGTGTCCTCGAAAGCGCTTTAAGAAGCGTTTAAGAATTAAAGCGCTGCACGTGCGCGTTGTCTCCATGGCAACAGTATCTTAAAAAAAAAACGCAGCTGAATGGCCGACAAACGAGCCCACACTGTGATCAGAGTTATATAGAAACACTTTGTCAGGGGTCGTTTTTTCAGCCGAATGGGGGCGTGGTCGCTCTGGTGAACGGAACGTGGCGTTCGACTGCTCTCATCAGATAATCCAACGTTCACCAGCGTCGCCTTGATTCACCACAACGTTTTTTTAGAACCACGCCCGGCCCTGCAGGGACTCTGTGACTGATCTGAAGTCTGTTTTGTTCATCATGTGTTAGTCCATGTTGTAATGTGTGTCCTCTAACTCTCCTCCCTCCGCCTCTCTTTAATGCTCTTCTTCTTCTTCTTCTTCTGTTTCTCTTCGGGGTCATGAAGGTCGTAGCTCTGATTTGCAGCTCCATTCTCAGATCAAAGATCACTCAGGTCTCCTCCACCTCTCAGTACATCATCCTGACTCAGTCCTCTCCCGTGCAGCTGGCTAACCCTCCACCCTCACAGCAGCAGGACTTTTTCTCCGTCTCGTACCCCAACCCCGACCAGGAGCCCGTGGTCTTCACCCCCCTCACTGTGGCTTCTCTGACTCAGGCTTAGTCCTTTCCCCTCTGTCCTGATCTTAGTCTGTAAGAGCACGCCATGACGCTTTCATGTGTTCAGCTTCTCTCTGCATGGATGGAGGGTCCTGCTTTCTGTGAAGGAAAGATCCAACCTGAAAGACCCCAACAAGACCCTAAAGACCCCAACACGACCCTAAAGACCCCGAAAGACCCTAAAGAACTCAACACGACCCTTAAGACCCCAACACGACCCTAAAGACCCCAACAAGACCCCAACACGACCCTAAAGGCCCCTAAAGACCCCAACACGACCCTTAAGACCCAACACGACCCTAAAGACCCCAAAGACCCAACACGACCCTAAAGGCCCCTAAAGACCCAACACGACCCTTAAGACCCCGAAAGACCCCTAAAGAACTCAACATGACCCTTAAGACCCCAACACGACCCTAAAGACCCCAACAAGACCCCAACACGACCCTAAAGACCCCGAAAGACCCCTAAAGAACTCAACACGACCCTTAAGACCCCAACACGACCCTAAAGACCCAACACGACCCTAAAGGCCCCTAAAGACCCCAACACGACCCTTAAGACCCCTAAAGAACTCAACACGACCCTAAAGGCCCCGAAAGACCTCAACAAGACCCTAAAGACCCAAACACGACCCTAAAGGCCCCTAAAGACCTCAACAAGACCCTAAAGACCCCAACACGACCCTTAAGACCCCTAAAGAACTCAACACGACCCTAAAGGCCCCTAAAGACCTCAATAAGACCCTAAAGACACCAACAAGACCCAAAAGTGCCCTTAAGACCCCAACACGACTCCAAACACCCCAACACCACTGTAAAATCCCTTACGACCCTAAAGACTCGTAAAACCCCAACACGACCCTAAAGACCTCAACATGAACCTAAAGACCCCAACACAGACGGGGGTCTCTCAGATTGTGAGGGTCTTGGTGCCCCCCTGTGGGGATCTTAAAGGGTTGGATCTTTCTAAAAACACTTTTCTTCTCTGTAGTTCTGATCTGTGATCTTAGTGCACGCTCTCATTCAGCGGCTGTGGTTGATCCTGGAGGTGATGCAGCTTTCTCCCCCACCTCGTCCTCACCCCCTCCCCCCTCTCTCTCTTCACACGGCAGGTCATCGCTCTGGTGTGCTCCATCGTCCTCCTGAAGCAGCTCCGCACGGTGCAGGAGGAGGTCAAAGCGTACTATGGGGCCGTGTACTGAGGAGGGCGAGGAGGAGGAGGAGGTCACTCTTCTTCACGAGTCGTCAGGTTCAACCAGAACCAGAAAACTTTACAGGAATGTTTCCGTTAGTGAACAACTGATGGTCCCCGCTTTACAGTTTAAAATGTTTTTTTTTTTTTCCCGTCCTTTATCGTCACGCTATGTTCGTGAGCGGACCGGCTGTGAAGACGGGAAACAGTCGAGTAGAATCACGTTTGCTGCTTGTAATGACACTTAATCAGAATCATTTCTAACCTGACGGGCTGATTATCGGCTCGACATCGAGGGAAACGCTTCATGTTCAGAACAAACTGACGCACACACTGAAAATCTTTCTTCATGTTGTTTGTCTGCTTTGCACTAGTCTGTTAATAAAGCTCAACTTTCTTTAAAGAAATCTTTCATGGAGGGTGTTTTTTGTTTTTTTTCACTCCGTTCTTTATTTCAATCAAAACAAACACGAGAGCAGCTGAAGAGTTTTTCTTCCCCGCCTCGTCAGGAGGAGTGAGACCTGTGAAGAGAAGAGAGGTGAGCGCAGTGATGACAGGAAGAGCGGGATCAGGTTTTACCTCTGAGCCCCCTGTAGCAGAAACATCAATTTAATTCAATTCTAAATAATACTTGTCCCCAGGGGGCGAAGGCACACAGCAGTAAAGAGTGAAGGTAGACGAAACATTTTAAACCTAAAATATAAAGTGTCAATTTAAATACAACTTAAATACAAAATATAAAAAGAGTAAATATAAGTGGACAGTGATCAGACTAACAGATGTAAACAGAATTATGTGCAGTAAACAAGAAATAAATCTATAAAGAGCAACGTGCAAGTAAATCATGTAATGGTGTTGTATTCTGAGTGAGGTTTTTTAATGATCCATGACTCAAACAAAGTCAGAGTTAGTAATTTACCAAAACTAGCATGATTTTGAAAGCAGCAGATCACACTCATTTCAGGTAAATTTACATGCAGTGTGAAGATACCAGCATAATAAAGATCGCTAGCATTAGCATGCTAACACAACAATGCAGCACAAGTTGTTTTGGTTTCATGCTGGTGCTGAAGGGCGACATCTGCTGGATGAAAAAAAAAAAATCACAATCCTTTAATTCTCACTGCCAGGGGGCCAAATGATGTCTCAAATTTAACTCAACATATACCTTTGATCAAATAATATTATGAACATATTTCTGGTTTTCATGGCAGGTGTTTCCAATTAATTGATATGTAAAAATTGACCTTAGGGCCACGTTGAGGGTTGATGGGGAGCCGCCAGTTTCCCCACCCCTGCGCTAGAGGAATCCTCCAGTGACGCGTTGTACATCGAGCAGTATGTGAACAATGACGTAGCAGGAGTTTGTCTTAAGCCGAGGTTCCTTCACTGGGCGTCATTTTGTCTTTATATAAACGAGGAAAGTTCAACCAACATATCCTTTAACTAATCGTGCCGTACCTGATCGGAGAGTTCTCATCAGGCATCATGAGCTTCAAACAGATGTTCACCTGTCTGATCAACCACCTGCTGGAAGATAGTTCACAACATTTTTTTAAAACAGTCAGGAGCAAAAACAAGAATGAGCTCAGTCTACGCTTCATCAACATACTGCTCAATGAAAGGTCACTGTGTGTCACATCGATCTGTCCACGCAGGAAGCATGAATGATGGTGACGACAGTCACCAATCATGAGAGGGGTCAAAGCCAGCCAATCAGGTTGCACAGGGAGTTCAGTAATTCCAATCGTTGGAATTTGGTTTGGTACACTGGCTGCTTTGTAGCTGAAGGCTGCTGTGTGAATCTGCGTGACGTTCAATGAACCTTCTGAGTTAGACTCCACATCACTGACCTCTGAGGGGTCACCAGGAGACACCGCCGTGTGCTCCATCGCAAAGTCAGGCACCATGAAGATGACATGGGGTCTCCATGAGCAGTCTGAGGGCTCACAAACAGAACAAAGGTTAAAACTAAAGCCTAATGAAAAAATACATGAAAACAAAAAGATGAATGACTCAAAATGTGTGCTCAAACAGCCTGTTAGGAGATTTCCCCTTCATGACATCACAAAGGGCAGTAGCCCCTCCCCCAGGTGGGTGACACTCCCACAGCTAGGTGTTTGTTCTGCCCTGTGAGTCTGCCTTCTCACCGTAAACAATAGGACATTGAGCGAGAAAGCACCGAGATACCCAAGCCCTTCCAGAGAGGGGGCGTGGTCAGACACAGCTCATTTACATATTTAAAGGTACAGACACAGAAACAGCCTGTTCTGAGCAGGGCTGAAATAGAGGGGATTATAGACACGATCAAATACAGGATCAGAGTGGATTTAGAACAAGAAACTTCACACACATGTTTTGAGGAGCTTTGAGTACAAACAGTCGATATATGACATGTGACCACAGGGTGAGGTGGAGGGAGCGTACGAGTCGACTTTGAGAGGGTCTGAGAGAAAACACACAGAAGAGATCGTTCGTTAAGATGACTGAATATTTTCACAGCTTCAACCTGACCTTAAGTATTTACCTTTGTTTTCACCATCTTGACCCTCATCTTCATCAGGATGCTGCTGATTGATATAATGGGAATAAAGGGTGCGCAACTGCTGATGCATGCTGGGAGATCCTGCCTGTGCACGAGGAAACAAGCGATCCATCCCGCTGTAGTCAGAGTGCGACGGAGGCAGAGATCCTGCAGGGTGATGCTCCTGGTCGTCTGCAGACACTCCTGGCTGATCGTAGAGGTGGTGGTTGGAGTAGTAAGGATGTGGGTGGACCTTTTGAACATCATGCGTTGGTTCTGTGGGTGAGGGAGGGGTCTGATAGGGTAGATGGTGTGGTGGAGAGGAGGTAGCTTGAAGCAGGGGGGCTAAATCTTGTTCGGATGAAGCTGCCGATTCTCGATCGTGATCGCTGAGCGAACTCTCGGCTACAGAATACGAGTGGTTAAAGTAATCAGAGTGGAGGTAGAATGGATAAAAGGGGGGGTGGTGGCTGGATGATGACGATGTAGCGGGGTAACTGTGGGGGTCGGGGGCTACCTCTACTTCTTTAACATCATATTCTTCTGCAGGTAAAACTGGAGTTTTACTCCGTTCTGCACGTTTATTTCCAAAGTTAATAATTTCATCTGAGTGCGACTCGTCGGTCTGAGTATCCAAGTCGTCGGTCTGAGTATCCAAGTCGTCGGTCTGAGGATCCAAGTCGTCGGTCTGAGGATCCAAGTCGTCGGTCTGAGGATCCAAGTCGTCGGTCTGAGGATCCAAGTTGTCGGTCTGAGTATCCAAGTTGTCGGTCTGAGTATCCAAGTTGTCGGTCTGAGTATCCAAGTCGATGGTCTGAGGATCCAAGTTGTCGGTCTGAGTATCCAAGTTGTCGGTCTGAGGATCCAAGTTGTCGGTCTGAGTATCCAAGTTGTCGGTCTGAGGATCCAAGTCGTCGGTCTGAGTATCCAAGTCGGTGGTCTGAGTATCCAAGTCGGTGGTCTGAGTATCCAAGTCGTCGGTCTGAGTATCCAAGTCGTCGGTCTGAGGATCCAAGTCGTCGGTCTGAGTATCCAAGTCGGTGGTCTGAGTATCCAAGTCGGTGGTCTGAGGATCCAAGTCGTCGGTCTGAGTATCCAAGTCGTCGGTCTGAGTATCCAAGTCGTCGGTCTGAGGATCCAAGTCGTCGGTCTGAGGATCCAAGTCGTCGGTCTGAGGATCCAAGTCGTCGGTCTGAGTATCCAAGTCGGTGGTCTGAGTATCCAAGTCGTCGGTCTGAGTATCCAAGTCGTCGGTCTGAGTATCCAAGTCGGTGGTCTGAGGATCCAAGTCGGTGGTCTGAGTATCCAAGTCGGTGGTCTGAGGATCCAAGTCGGTGGTCTGAGGATCCAAGTCGTCGGTCTGAGGATCCAAGTCGGTGGTCTGAGGATCCAAGTCATCGGTCTGAAGATGTAAGTCGATGGTCTGAGGATCCAAGTCGTCGGTCTGAGTATCCAAGTCGGTGGTCTGAGGATCCAAGTCGTCGGTCTGAGTATCCAAGTCGGTGGTCTGAGGATCCAAGTCGGTGGTCTGAGGATCCAAGTCGTCGGTCTGAGTATCCAAGTCGGTGGTCTGAGGATCCAAGTCATCGGTCTGAGATGTAAGTCGATGGTCTGAGGATCCAAGTCGTCGGTCTGAGTATCCAAGTCGGTGGTCTGAGGAGCCAAGTCATCGGTCTGAGGATCCAAGTCGTCGGTCTGAGGATCCAAGTCGGTGGTCTGAGGATCCAAGTCGGTGGTCTGAGGATCTAAGTCGTCGGTCTGAGGATCCAAGTCGATGGTCTGAGGATCCAAGTCGTCGGTCGAGGATCTAAGTTGATGGTCCGAGGATCCAAGTCGATGGTCTGAGGATCCAAGTCGTCAGTCTGAAGAGCTAAGTCGATGGTCCGAGGATCTAAGTCGATGATCCAAGGATCCAAGTCGTCTTCCTTCAAGTTATCAGCAGGAAAGATGCCCGATTCTGAGTTTTGATCGTCTATTTTTGGATTGAGAAGAGACGATTTTTCGGCCTCGCCTCGGTCAGTTTGTGGAAAGTAATAGAAGTAGTGGTCCGGATACGGTGGTGGAGGAAGAGGAGGATGAGCGGTTTCATGTTCGGGGGTTTTATGAGTGAATTCAGGACTTCCTGGAGGAGGTGAAGGAGAAGAGGGAGCCTCAGACGGCTCAACGCTCGGGGATAAATTATGATCAGATGGTTGTTTTGGCACCTCAGGTCCAGGATCGGGGACTTCAGGTTGGCCTGTAAGAGGGATTTTAGGGTGGTTATAGTAGTGGTAGTACTGACTGAAGGCATGCTGCTGCATGGGAGGCGCTTCAGCTTGAGGAGTTTCTGAGGAGGCAGAGCGTGCAGCAGGGTGCATCTCTGGCTGCTTTTCTTGCTCCTGCTGCAGATCTGGATGCTCCTTATCGGAGTCCTCCTCACGGTCTGCAGCTGGTGGAGAAACATGGACACCAAAACGGTTATAATAATCCCTTAAAGGAGGCGTGTCAGAGTAGAGAGCCTGATGGTCATTGGGAGCGAGCCTGTGGGCTCAGTGTGGGTTCAGGAGTGGGAGGGTTTCTGGCACCATGAGGAGGATATGTGTAGTGGTATCTCGGGTGGGGGTAGAAAGGCGGGGCCAGGTAGAAAGGTGGAGCCCATGGCTTTGCCTGCTGCAGGGTCAACGAGGGAGAGACGGGACAGGCCAGAGTGAACGTCTTCCCTCTGATCTGAAGAGAAATGGTGTGTTTTCCATCCTGAAAGAAAGATCGGCTCTGTCAGGATGTTTAGGAAAAGATGGAGTCAGTATTTAACATGCAACATGATTTTCATTCCATGTTTGCAGCTTGCAATTTGATTAATTTACAGGAAGAAAAACATTTTGATATTTGGACTTAAAGAGGAGAATTAGATGATATGAAAGCACACATCTGGTGGACGCCCTGTGTACTTTAGTGTGCTACAGGGACAGCCGGTTCAATTCACAGACCGCTGACTACAGCTCTCTGGCCTGACTGTTATCTTGTTTTTGAACTGAACAGACTATTATTTCTTTTGGACTCTATTTTATTTTTGACCCAGAAAGACTGATTTTTTTAAACTTAACATCAAGGGCCTGGAAAAGGATCATTTTTGTTGATTGTTTTACCACTGGAAGAGAGAGGGACTGAAAATATTTTGTTTTGATCAGAGTTGCTGTTAATATATTTTTCTGTTACCCAATACAAAAAATGATTTATTGAAGTGAACCTGTGTGGCAGTTTCTGTTATATTCTTATTATTTATAAGGTGGTTCAGTTTAATACTTTAACATCCTTTGTGTTGTTTTTTTCTTCTTCAATAAGTGTTGTGAACAAACGAAACGACATATGACCAGGGACAGCCCGGATGGCACCCCAGAAAACAAAGAAAAATTATAGGAAAAGTCTTGCCCATTAAAACCGTCACAACATGATGTGATTGAGTCATCTCCTTCATGGTGAATATTCTGAATCCTACCTTGACAGTGATTCCACATGTAACATATGGAGCGGTGATGATGACCTCAGCATCGTGTCCCGCCACAGTGTAGCCGCACTGCTCGACTAGCGTCACTAAAGGAGTCCACTCTCCTCTGACTGACAGGAAACACATCAGAGGTCACACAGAGACAGAGCATCATCACAGAGTTATTAAAAAAGTACTCTATGGTTTTTACCGTCTACTCTCAGCTCCCAAGTGTCAGTCACTCCCTGCAGTTTGACTGTCAGGCTGTAGGGGGAGCAGCAGAGCGAGGACGGAGCTGTGGCCTCTGGCTCCATTTGAGGGGAGGGGCACGACATCCTGACCGGAGTCCCTCTCCACAGCAGAGGCAACACAAAGTGGTCGTCCTGCAAAACATTTACATTTTATTCAGTCTTTTTTTTTTTTTAGGACTGTTGTGATTTTGCTTCAGCACAGGAAGGGGAAACTTGACCCTTAAAAAACATGATACCTGAACAGTCAAAGCAGGAGTCTTAATATTTGGTGGAAATCAAAAGAAAAAAAAAGCTGAAAAATCTAAATGATCTGAAACTCAGAAAGTCGCCCTTAAGTAGAACGAGGAAGTTGGTTTATGTCTGCAGTGATGATTTATGTCTCTGTACCTCCTGTATGACGTGGCAGGCGTCGTACTCAGCCATCAGACGGAGATCTTTCCACGAGGCCTGGACGGAGTAACCACACTGAGGGGGCAGCTGGGTCAGCGGCACGGGCGACTCGTTATCTGAGACGCAAAAACAACACCACGACTTAAATCTCATGAAGACATAAACGGTCTAAAGTGTCATTTGATGACATAAAAATCAATAAATCACTTCACAATATGAAGAGTAAACCTCAACATTAAAATCATTTGAGATATCAAACACAAAGCAAACAATAGGAACAATAAAAACAACTTACAGGTCCGCTCAGTGAGATGTGTAGAGAGTGAGATGATAAAGGTATCTTACTCTCTGATCATTAAGGAAACATGCTATGTTGAAGTGCTGGTTTCTCTGACAACAATGCAGCAGCCAGTATGTCCTCCTTCTAACTTTAGATTCTGCTCCTGAATGCTCTGGATTTGTTTGGACCAGAGAAGGTAGGCGCTTTAAGACCCCCCCCACACGGCCGTTTTGGACGCCCCTCTGTTTGTCAGATATGAGAGCAGTTATCAGGTCAACAGGTGTTGCAGCGATGGAAGCGGTCAAGAGAAGTGGTTCAGATAGAAGTGATTGTACCCGACCTAAAAAGCCTCTGCATGTTTCTAATAAGCTCCACGAGCAGAAACGTGCTCAAACTAGGATCAATATTGGAGATGCTTTTGAAAAATGGAGAGAGGTTAGAACACAGAAAGGTTTACAGACCCATGCAGAGCTGGATAAACACTGAAGCTTCAGAGTCCACCACATGGTGACCTGAGTGAGCATCCACTCTAGAGAGGGGGGGGGAGACAGCTCTCTATGATGTTTAGAATTTAGACTGCAGTACCCATTTTAAACACTAGGTGTCAGAGTTACATACTGCTCCTTTAAAGACAGTTGTTTAGTTTATATAAAGAATAATGACTGAAAAGTTGCCTATCAACATGAATGTATGGATTTAGACACCAACTGACCCCTGAAGAAGAAGATCAGTAAACTTTTTTTGTGGCTTGTTTAAATGGCATGCCTGTCCTCTGCACAGAGTTACTACCTCAGATTAGCTGGATTCTTTAGTTCCAGGAGGAGTCGTGATGTTACCTCGGTCCAGCAGCAGCTGTGCAGCTCTTCTCCTCCTCACAGTCAGCGTCATCACCTTCTCTCCACACTCCACCTCAGGCTGCAGGCTCAGCCAGCTCACCTGATGATCTTTAACCCTCTGCTGGACAACCTGAGACTGGACTAGAAAGCAAACAAACCATCTAACAGCTCAGAGGAAAAGGTGTCTGATCTGCTGGGTCTTTGTCCTTCAAAGCAGCAGCTTCAGTTAAAGATACAAAAACACATTTTAAACAACACAACATGACACTTTGGTGCTCTGGTTTTTTATTTCAAGTACAAAAGGTAATATTTAAGAGTCCGAATCACTCCATGAAACACCTTAGCAGAGAGGGTATTTAGTATTGTGTGGGTTAACTGACAGAAACCATCATTATTGATAGAAAAGGGGGGGGGGGATTCTGTGAAGAAAAGGAAGTTAACAGAACTCACCTGAAACAGCAGAATCAGACTGGTAGCCTGTGTTGGGGCTGTTTGCTTCCAGTTGACCCGTGATGGTGAACTTTCCGCGGGTGGTGGTCTGGATGTTGCCCTCGCTGCAGCCTTCCTGTGGAGGTTCAGATAAGAAAACCTCCACCTCCCTTCAGTTTGCTGCACCGTGTCCCTCTTTCTGGACCTTTTGTTGGTCATGATGGGTTTAAATGTCCTTCTTCTTCTTGAGCTTTCAGTCTCTGTCACATTTCTGTTTTTTTGTTCTTTCTGCCTGGAGTTGAAGCTCTGCAGCTTTCTGAGGCCTCTTGTTGTTAAATCGTTGCTCTCGTCATCATGAAAAGCTAAATGAGATGAGGTTGTGAGAAATGAGCAGC